ATAATATTTTACTGCAACAAGTTCTGGATTTGCATTAGTATCATTGAATTTTTCATCTAAAGCCATTATGATTGTTCTAACTAGAAGATCATCTAAAAAAATATGTTGTTTTTTCAGTATTTAGTGGTGTTTTTGATAATGTATCTGGAATAAACATATCTTTCCTAGGTAAATAAAATCATATTTCAATAATCTTATTGTCAGTCTTTGCAATCTCGGAGATAAAGAGTCAATCGCCTTATTTACTATCCCCAACAGAGATTTATGGTCAGTTATAGCATTAAATGGACGACCATACAGGTAATAATGAAAATATTCGCAGCCCAAAACTATACTCAATAACTCTTTCTCTATTTGTGCATAATTTCTCTGAGCAGTTGATAAAATTATTGATTAAGCGGTTATTATGCTCTTCTAATGAATTGCCAAAACTAAGAATATCATCCATATATGTCATTCAAACTACAAACCATACCTACATGCTTGAAAAATGTCTGGTGCATTTGATAAGCCATATGGTAGTCTGTATCGACCAAAAGATGTTATAGAAGAACATAGGTCCGAACTATCTTCCTCTAATGGTATCTGCCAAAAAGTTTGGATTTTTAGCTTCGTATTTGTTAAATATATTCAACCTGTCAATCCCTAAATTATTACTATTTGATGAAGTTCCAGACATAGTTGTTTTCGTGATCCTTCATATGCCCTGCAAACTGCAAATATCTATACATTTAGATAAATCGAGATCCCTCGTACTAAGCAACTGCTCTCGAGGAATATCATTTGTTATCACACATACAACTCTTTCCTTAATCAATTTTCAAATTCACAATCTTCCGCTTCTGTCTTGATTCAGTAAAATATTCATCATTTGATTGGTTTTCTTTTTGTTAATTCAAAATCACTTCTACAGTAAGTTCATCATCTTTTTCAGTACCTGAAGGATAATGTGTTGTGTCTAGTCCATAATCACCCAAGACATATAACAATATAGCTCTTTGTTTTTCCACCTTAGCTTTTTCAATAGCAGCAGCTACCCAAACAATTTTCAGATCAACATCTGGGGATATGTAATCTTCCCGATAAATTAGATTTGGGCTAACCATGTACTTATATATTGCTGTAATTTAAATATTGATGCAATAATTTGATCAAATTCCCAGTCTCTGATGGGCTGTAAATTTGATACGTGACATTATCAAAATTAATTCATATTGCTCGGGTAATTTGGATAGCTAATCTAAAAATCAATAGTTCAATTATTGTGAATACCTACTATGTAATTTAAATGTGTGGAATTAACATTGTGCCTAAATTAATATTTTGAAAAAAGAAAAGTTAGCTTAGGTAGGATTTTCGCAGGTAGGTACCCTTGATGTCGTTTATTCCTGAAAACCCTATAAACTAACTTTCCTAGGGTGTCGCGAATCCAAAGGGCTTGGCCCAAACTTGAAATCCAATTTTCAACATATAGTTATGATCCCAAAACTTAGACTACGAATAGTTTCATGGGAATTTATAATCCTGAAGGCACTGCATATCAAAACTCCCATGAAAGTGTGTTGAAAACGATTTTTTGTTTCTCGGTTATTTGAATATTCAATTTGTTACGACACCCTCGGGCACGCCAGAGGTCTTAGAACAGTATAAATTTGAAAATTAAAAGGGTTTGTTAGGGAACTGCAGAATCTTCGAAGGTTTCAAGTTTAGAATTCAAATTTTCGAAAGTCTAGTGAGGATTATGAGCTCTCTGGGTGCATTGTTCCTTTTTCTAGGACTGGCCTAATTTTATACAGAAAACTATGAAACGACTGAAGCTCAGGGTCTCCTACTTTTTTGAGCCCAGAACTGAGAAATGAGTTAAAGAGCCGAAGACACAGACATTATTGCAATGCGATTGGCTAAACTCTAAGTCAGGAACATATGGACATACAAAATAAGGAAATAAAAACCCGGACAAAGACAAAGCAATTGACGTTTAGGAAGAGGTGAAATAGTTTTTTGTTTTTTAACAAACATTTGAAAACCTAACTCGCGAAAAGTATTATCAGTTGGCGGTCGCCAGAGGTTTGAAGAAAATTTAAAACGTTTAAACTACATTAGGCAGAATAATTTAGTGAAAGTAAGGAAAAATTGTAAGTACATGTAGGAATTTGAGTATATAACCATATATTGCAATGACTGAGATGTATAGTATTTTTGTCTTTGGAACATTATTGTAATTTAACTGACTTTGAGTGAAAAGTCTATTGAATATTTTTACCAAGAATATAAGTAATTAGGGGAATTTAAAGCACATGGCTCAGAACAAGCAAGCAATGATTAAATACTACACAAAGAAAATATTGAAGTAAGAAATCTACTTCCAAAAGCGAACAGGCTTCAAAAATAGGAAACAGGTCTGGATGTATTCGAACAGTTTTTCACAACAACTATCTAAATAACATATTATTGGAAGGTTACAATATAGACAGTCAATGTCCTTGTCGTACCGAGTAACTTTTTTCAAATATTTAATTCAGCTTCAAAACCATCTTTTCAATCCATCATAACCCAATAACCAGCCATTAGCCTGTGCATGTTTTTTCTCTAAATTTAATTGAAATTAGTTTCACATTCATACCGACTCTCTACCCTACCAAACAAGACAAAGCTTATCCCATGACTCCGATCAAAAATTCTAAAATTAACCAGACACGCACACAAAAAGCCTCCAGTTCTCATAACACTTTCTTGGAACCCCCCTACGAAAGAATCCCATAAATTACTCAAACCTCCCCTATTCCCCAGGCATTCCCGTACAGTTGCCGCCTCCGGGACCCGCTATCCACCAATGAGCCGATGACGTCGCGGCGCCGCCACTCTGGAGCGACGCCGCCCCAAAATCGACTTCTTGTTGACCTGGACGTTCATTCCAACGTCTCACCTGGAGGACGCCGCGTCGCGTCGCTGCACCGACCGACACAAAAAAAAAAGAACTAAGTGTACCTGGGGGGTCGTAATCGTGGCTTTGAACGGGGAAAGGTCCGCTGAGGGCCCTACGCAAGGGTCCTTTCAGTTCTTTGGCGGACGAGGGGTCAGTGTTAACAATATTCGGGGGTTTTTTCGAACGAGGATTGGATCCGCTCTTCCTGATACAGGTAAGTCGGATAATTGGTTGTGCGCATGCGATTTCTGGTAGAGGAAAAACGAATTTATTTATGTCAAACTTTAATGCAAAGAATCTAATATGGATGTGTGATGTGTGTTAGGTAACTATAATGTGCATCAGAAAGTTATTATCATAATCCTACAAGCAATATGTTATATATTATGATATTAACAACAATCACCAGTATAGGTAAATGATTATGATTTTCACAATTCTAAGAGATTTCGGGCCACACTTGGCAACACCGAATATTATCTACTGCGCAAGTAGCCTACTGCGCTTTACCAATAATCTGTGTCTGATACTAAAGCCGGTATTTCGTAGGAGTTTTTAGTTAACGTCTCTTCGCTCCCATTGGCTATGGCAAAGAGTCCAAATTCAAACTTTTACTTACACATTTTGCCGGTCCTGTGAAAAAAACTTCATTAGAATATGGCGTTAAAGTCCACAAACTATGTTGCCAGTTCAACTTTTTTTGCCTCAGTTTGTCGTCCATAATATTAACCAATGTCGGAAATAGGTTACTGCTTTGCTGTTCAAATCCCCTACTTAGTATTCCGTGCATACGAGCTCCAATCAAAGTCTCAAATGCATTTTATCTTTGATTTTAAATGACTTTGCCTCAAGCTTTTACATATAAATTTGTTCCATGTCACGAAAGCGCTTTTTCCTGATATTAAACATGGATAAAAAGAAAATGGCGCATGTGTTAACAAAATGGAGAAAATCAATATGCGCCCCTGGTTTTATATTTTCATATTTTTGTCCAATTAGCCATACGTAATTCAATTTCAGGTCAAAGCATTGTATAATTTTATTATCGGGTCGCTATTTTATCAAATCAGGATTTTCCGACAAAATGCTTTACTAGGTATATCTATATGTTAAACCCACTTAGCGGATGATCAATTATTAACCCAACACCTCGTATTGAGTTTAGTGAAGTTTATTCGATTAAGGGCAGGTTTATTCATCTTCTAGAAAACTGTCAGGTATGCAATCTGACGGATAAAAACGCAATCTCTAATCCCATTAGTCGGCCAGTTATCCGCCGACCAATAGAATTATGGAACGCTAAATTTATCTTGCAGATAGGTACCGGCAAGATTATCTGAAGATGAATAAACCGGGCCTAAACACATCAACTTCCTTGATTTTTGTTTTTTTTGATATTAGGTACCTGTCTATTCATTTTATTAGGTTTGAGATTTCTTTTTGCTGATCTCTTTGTAGAAATTCAATTTGTTTTAAGCAACTGATATGAGTAAAATGAGACAAAAATGATATTCAATAATGAGAAAGTAATTAAATTAATTGAAATACTAAACAAATATACCTACTTAGCTGGAATCAAATTACTTAACGTTCATTCATTAGAGTACATCCGCAGAGAATAACATTTCTGTCCCCAACAAACAATATTTAGATTACATTTCACGATGCTGCTAATTATAAAAAGTAATATTCATTCACTATGTTGCTTTCCATAAAAAAAAACTATATGTACATAAATAAGATTGTTCTTTATTTACGTCCAACTAAATATTGACATTTTGGAAAAATTAGGTAGCGAAAATGACCTCCACCTTCCAATTGACTTAAAGGGGGCTGGGGGGTATCAGCGCAGTGCCTGCCCCATCCCCCCTGAACCAATTTCGTCCTTCAAAAAATCTAAAACTCACCCTTTTTTGTCCAGGTTAAAGGAAGAGAAGGCACTGTGCTGAAACCCTAGGACCTGCACCCTGCTTGGAACTACCTACGGCGGCGAAGATTTTGTGCAATGTGAAAACAAAAAACCAGTGATAGTGATTTAGAATTATGTGTGTTAACTAGATTACGCAGTCACAATATGGCTCCCATACCGATAATAAACCTTGAGTTCTCTGAACTCAGGGAAATCGTGTGGACTAAGCTTCAAGAGCCGAATGCCCAAAGAAAGCTGGTGCTAGTGATAGTGTCTATAGCACTGTTGCTGGATAATATGTTATATATGGTAATTGTTCCAATTATACCGGATTACTTAAGGTGAGAATAATTTTACTATATTATGACAAGTGGATTTTTTATTGTATATGCTTTACATCTTCATGACCCTAAAAATATTATTATCTCCAAAGATATGTTGTAGGTATATAAGGCATTCTTCTTACATGCTTGTACGTGTACATTATACATTTTTCAGGAAATTGTATCTTTTCATCACCTAGAATCATTTCTGAAACGAATTCCAGTTCAAAAAGTGAATTTATCATGTTCCATCGAACCTAATCAATGAAAAGGCTATGTCCCTTATGTAATTAACATTTATTTATTAAAATTTGGGCTTAGTTTGCGATAGTTCCTAAGTAAATCGATCAATCTCGTGATTTCTAAAGTCCACAACGATGGTAAACTTACAGCCATAACTCCATCAATGAATTGTGCACAGTATTTCACCGAAAGTTTGGATTGTCGACCACCCAAAAGAAAGTTCAAAAAAGTCATATCCTAAAATACTACAAGAAGAAGATGACTATGGGTATAAATTATAGGACGTTTATGAGATTACTGAGTTTCTAAACCAGTCATCTTCGTCCATTGCTAGACATAGGCCTCATTCAGTTGCTTTCACTGCTCTTTATTCTGAGCTGTTTTTATACAGATGGTGGAGATTCTTTTGAGATCATTTCCTACCTCCACGACAGAGTACCTACCTATATTTCGATGATTGGTACATATGCCAGTGGTAGGTACAGCTTTTCTGTTGTAGATAGAAGCTTTTTGATTGAAATTATATAACGGTCATAGTAAAAAGAAAACTTTTTCTCTCTCACTGTAACTATGTGATCTTGTTCAGTGTTCAAATATTCTCAATAGTGCTAATGCTATTTCTTCGTTGAGACAATCAAAAAGTCAGTTTCTGCTTAAACTTGGTCTACTATACGGTGGTATTTGCTCTTTCTAGATTCCAGCTTTTTTCGATCCAAACTCACAAACATTCATTGCTCATTGTAGTCGCCAAACTTCTAATTGTATTACCTCTGCAATTTTTGTCGGGATCAAATTTTCTTGTCTACCAAAATCTATAAAGGCTTCAATCTACCTTACAATAATGTAAGCATTTTGATAATATTTCTGAATGTTTTCTTGTTCATTGTCAAATCATTTGTGCATTATGACTTTCGAGTAGAATGCGAAGATCGATACTTTTCACTTTGGTTGCTCTCTATTTTCTCACTTTTGCGCCGAATCTAGAATTTCATCCTTCCTGGAAACTTGCAAATGCCTCTAGGGAATGATATAGATCAGTTTTCCTGATGATAAGTCACCTAATGTTGTATGTATTGAATATTTCAATTATTGACATTTGCTTTCGGGTTTCTTAGAATGATAACTTCAGGCTGTTTCATAATTCATTCTTCTCATGGAAATAAGTTGCTAAGCTTTCGTTTCTTTCTTGTCTCATCTGGTCGCCGTTTTACTCTATTTTGTTTTTCCAGTAAGGGTTTTCTTGTTCCGAATCATTGAAAATCCTAATATCATCAATCTTGCTTCACATCCAATGAGATGTATTTTCTAAAATGAAAGGTCGAAGCAACTTTGTAATATTTGCATACTTTTAGAGTTTCTTCAACCAATCAGTTATACTAATTCCGAAATCTTCATTAAGAAATTTAATGTTCTTGGACAAATCTTGCCTGACTTGATAATTTCAGTCTCTTTCTGCAGCTTCTATGGTTGACGCAGATGAAATATTGTCAAATCATAACGTCTGTTTGTTGCTTATCAAATATCATTCGTTTGCAGTATTTCAATAAAATTCTAATGATTATAGATGGTGTGGTTCATATATCTCTCTAATAGAGGGCGCATCATCCAGTCAGACTTGTCTATGATAGATATCAGCTATTTTGCTTATCATCAGGATATATCCTTCTTCTCTCCTTTTGCGCACTTTTCCTGTAGGTCGTTTTCCTAGCAAACACTACGTTGCCTCAATTATATCTATGTGTAAAAAAGGATTCAAATAATAAACTATCTAGAAGTATTCATTCATCAACTTCAAACATTCCAGCAGATTTTGAAAAGCATTTCTACCAAATGTCCATGAAACAAATCAACAATTACCAGTCGATGATTTTGCTTGTATTACCAGTAAATCAACGAATATCCTATTTTTTAGTTACATCTATTGAACCTCTTACCCTAAGATGTAAATATTGGTTACCTGCGTTTTGACGTTATATCGCCAATACCTTGTCTTGAATTTATAAATTAAATTCTATATTATATGCCTGGTGACCCAATGGATCGAGGTCCTCAATACATAATTTTGTAGATATATTGGAGCCTATCAAGATGACCCCATTCCGGAAAACTCCACGCTGCCCCCCGGGACCCCTTTCAAGCACGACCATCACGGCCAGGACTCGGCCACCGGCATCCTCTTCGCTTCCAAAGTAATAATTTCCAGAAATCAACCTCGAACACTGATTCTAATTTTACAAATATATTTTTAGGCCATCGTACAGCTTATGGTGAACCCTTTTTCCGGGGCCCTAATCGACCGAATAGGATACGACATCCCCATGATGGTTGGCCTGTGCATCATGTTCCTATCAACAGCAGTGTTCGCTTGTGGCCGGAGTTACGGGCTCCTCTTCTTCGCCAGAAGTCTACAGGTAAGAAAATTATCCAAATAATTAGTAACAAAGTTTCAATTGGAATACAAATTTGTTACAGGGCGTAGGATCAGCGTTCGCAGACACATCGGGTCTAGCCATGATCGCAGACCGCTTCACGGAAGAAAACGAGCGTTCAAAAGCACTAGGCATAGCTCTAGCTTTCATAAGCTTCGGGTGTCTAGTGGCACCACCGTTCGGTGGCGCACTATACCAATTCGCAGGCAAAGAAGTGCCGTTCCTCATTTTAGCCTTCGTTTCTCTTCTAGACGGTTTCATGCTTCTGATAGTTATGAAACCTATAAAAGAGGTAATAAAAGAAGCGAGAATTGTCAAACCGCCATCAGTGCCAATATGGAGGCTCTTTATGGATCCTTACATAGCAGTTTGTTCGGGAGCATTAATGATGGCAAATGTGGCTTTGGCTTTTCTGGAACCAACCATCTCCTTATGGATGGAGGACAATTTGACAACCGACAATTGGAAAATAGGAATGGTATGGCTACCAGCGTTTATACCGCACGTTATAGGAGTAGTAATCACCGTAAAAATCGCAAAAAAGTACCCCCACTATCAGTGGTTAATGGCCGCTGGAGGGTTAGCCCTAGAAGGCTTATGTTGTTTTATAATACCATTTTCGACAAGTTATGTAGTACTGATGATCCCACTATGCGGAATTTGTTTTGGAGTTGCTTTAATCGACACAGCGCTTCTGCCAACTCTAGGTTATCTGGTCGACGTACGTTATGTCTCTGTATACGGAAGCATTTATGCAATAGCAGACATTTCTTATTCAGTAGCTTACGCTATAGGACCGATTATAGCAGGAGGAGTAGTGGAAGCCATAGGCTTCACCGCTCTAAACATAGGCATAGCCATATCCAACCTGGCGTACGTACCAGTACTGACATACCTCAAGCACATCTACGACTTTAAACCGTTTGAAAACGAAGCAAATATCCTCATGTCAGATCCACCTAATAAAGAATATCAAACGTATTCGATGCAAGAACAAAAAGCCGTCAATGAAAACGTACAAAATCATTTGGATTATAAACAGCAAGAAACGAATTTCAATAGCTACGATAATTATGATAGTCAAACATACCAGAGCGATTATCAGCAGCCGCAACAACAACACTTTCCAGCGCAAGCACCGAATTATCCAGATCAGAATCAGTCGTATCAGAATCAAACCTACCAAGGTCCCCAAGTACCGGCCAGGCCTCAGAGTCAAGGTCGCGTTCTGCCACAGCAACCAGTGTCCAATCCTTTTAGACCACCAGCACCAATGTCCACGGGGGGCAATCCGTTTAGGCAAGGTTTGTAAATGGACTAAAATGTTATGTTAGTATTATATTTGAAGATGTATTAAAATTTGTTCAAAAATTAAGTGCAATATAGTTGTTGTTGGATGGTAATAATAAGGAGATTTCAAGCTTAGGATTTTAGCTCAGGGGGTTTCTCAAAAAATTTTGCGAGGGCAGGCTGATTGGAGACTGTGTCTTGAGTATTGAGCCAAAAAATCACACTCGAAAGCCTTGTGCGTTCGGCCCTATTGGCCTTTTTCTTATTTATTTTTTTTCGACAAAATGACTCCTACAAAACTTGTAGATAATTACGTTCTGATCAACTTTGCCCTATGCCTTTTTTTGCTAGCTATTTTAGTTTAGGCGTTGTGGCCATTTTAGCGCTTCAGAATTCGCAAAACCTGCAGATTATGGTACATAATAACATTCTCTATTACTTTGCTCGATGATATTTTATTGACACCTTATTTTCGATCGGTAAAGTACCACTTTGCGCGCTTAAAACACAAATAGCTATTGTGCAACCGTCCGCGAAATTCAATTTCGCGAAACGTCACATTTTACTTGCAAAATGTGTCAAATCCTTAGAAACGCTATGCATGACACAATATCCACCAGGTCAAATAAAAAAATTTAAATGCCTAAAAGGCCGTACAAGCGAAAGAAATAAAGTTACAATAAATATCATCAAGCAAAGTAATAGAGAATTTTATTGTGTATAATAATCTGTAGGTTTGCTATTTAATTTTTTTTTGCGAATTCTGAAGCACTAAAATGGCCGCAGCGCCTAAAGTAAAATAGCTAGCAAAAAAAGTCAAAAGACAAAGTTGATCAGAATGTAATTATCTACAAGTTTTGTAGAGGTCACTTTGGCGAAAAAAAATAAATAAGAAAAAGACCAATAGGGCCGAACGCACAAGGCTTTCGAGTGTGATTTTTTGGCTCAATACTCAGGACACGGTCCCCAATCAATCCTGGAGAAATCAGCCTGCCCTCGCAAAATTTTTTGCGGCCCAGGTATAAATTTCTTGGGCAAGCCATAAATATCTAACAAAAAAAACATGTACAATAGATTTAAAAAAAAAACATCAATGGTTTAAGAAATTAAAAAGAATATTTTCGAGTAAGGAAACTCTTATCACTAATAAAGTATACGGACAGTATTTTCTAAACTCACAATAAGGAAAGTTGTAACGACAAAACAAAAAGCCTACAATCTCTCTATTTTTAAAAAGTCCTGAATCTAATAGGTTGTATAAAAAAATTATAATTGTTTTATTATTATTTTTATTATTAGTGTGTAAAAATCACGCCCAGACGTTCCTTATTATATACTAAAAACAAAAGAGTTTCTAAAATTTCTTAGTGAGTCTTTCTAAAGCATAAATAATTTAGTAAAATAGGTATTAAATATAAAAAAAGAAGTAAAACTATTAAATGTTTATCGAATTTTGATGATTTAATGAGAAAGAAAAATAGACAAACTAATAATAATATTCGAATATGGAATAATAACAACAAACAAGACAAAATAGAAAAAACAATATTCATAAAACATTTTAATAGGGTTTGTTATCAACAAATGCTACATATAATATTTCGATTTATTACAAAATCACGTTGTAAGTAATTTCTATTAATTTGTATATCTAGTATATTATAATATATCGTTGTATATAGACTTTTTAGGATAGGCGTCTTTTTACTTTCAATGTATATTTATTTCAAACAATTTTTTTATATATAAGATAATATATCAACTGAGATCACTTACATATCAGAGCCGAAGGTTCGCCATTTTAAACATATCGTGATAATAGACTTAAGTTTACATTAGCTTAGGTATAAATAATTTAGGATTTAAGCATATAATATATTAATTATATATCGATATACGGGACGTCCGTTTTTATATACATATTGTAATTTTACAGGGTTTATTGAATGGCTTATCGACCCGTAACCAGAAATCAACAACGAGAGACTGAGAAAAGTTTTATCAGAATATTTATTTCTACATTTACACAATCTCTAAATGGTTTATTACTCATGGTTTATTGTGGTTTTCTTTCTTTTTACTACCGTTTTCATTGTTGTACGATCAAGAAATTGATTGCTCTTCTAGCAGTCTTTATAGTTAAAATCTGAAACCTTTGCAAGTCAATGTCTACCTCTCTGAATATATTCAACTTGGGAAAAAATATATCGATATTAATAAGGAGTACCTTACTATGACTGTATAAGTCACAATTGCTTAAAAATATCACAAGTCTCACAGATCAATGTTTCTGGTTAAGAGTCGGAAAAAAAGCTTAATATAATGCATAGCTTAATATTACGGAAATTTATGAGAACATCTGTTTTTAATAAAAAGGGCAATTAAGAGAAATATCAAAGTCAAATTATTAGATGATATAAGTATTTGTACGATCTGGACAAATGAAGTCAATTTTTTATTTCATATATTGATGCCGGAGGTGAGTTTTTCAAGTAGCATAATATAATATAGTAATGAATAGAGCAAAGATGCTTACTAAATAGTTCCATAATTACATTTTGCTTTTAAATTTTCAACAATTCTAGTTCTAGGATAAAAAATGGGTAAGTAAATGTACATAAAAATTTAACATGCCTATAAATTTTAATGCATATCAATGTAAGTGTACCTTCTATACTATATCTGGGACAACATAGTGCAATTACTAATTAAAACTGTTGTTCATTATTTTTCAAAAGAAGTAAATGTTGAACATAATTTTATATAAAATGTGGACTTTTAGATAACAGCATCTATTTGATAAATGAAAATAATCCACATGAATCTTTAAATCTATATAAATGATTTCGGAATGAAAAGCATTGTAATTTATTTCATGCACGAGCGGGCTTTAAAGTACAATTTAACTAGGCAAGGATTTCTCACCATCTATTAGAAGATTTCTGCAGGTCTCTCCAACTTAAAGTGTCACGTAGGTACTCCTAAAACAAGGCAACTTTCTTCATTAAGAATAACTCGTCAAAAACTTCTGAAAAATATATTTTATGATCGACATTTTTACAATTATCATGATTTGGGAGGCAAAAGGTCGATCCCACCCTCTACAGCAGAATCTACTATTTTTCAGAAGAGGTACATTTAAACAATCTCCATAGCTGTATATCTGAAAGAAAACCATTTAGAAAATAAGTACATAAACACAATGACTCGCTGAATGTTTATGCTAAAGATTTCTTGATTCAGAATAACAGAAGTAGCCTAACTAGAGAATATTAGTTAATCCACGTAAAACATTGCGTGCATCTCAATCGTAATTTGCACTCAAATTATTATTTCTAGATACATAAATAACTATCAAAATAACTGAAAAATACATGCTGAGTATCTATAAGTCTATTATTAAGAAATTTATCAATTATAAAAATGGACGGCCTCTTTAGTATTAAGGTCACAACTCTAGCCCGCTATCACCCCGTCTATTGCACTTTTTAAATATATCACTTGAAAGATATACTGTGCTTTTTCCTCTACAGTAATAATTTTAATGCTTTGTGAATAAATGAATTAAGTGTGTGTAAATAATTATTAATTTTTGCTGCTGTTGAAAATATTTACCCAATTGCAATTTCATTTCCTATACCTGCTAAATTTAAACATATTTTGCTATTTTCCTGATAAATTTTCATTTTGTCATAAACAGTACCAAGACTCTTAGTGTCAATTTCAATGAAAAAAAAAGTACATAATTGCGTGCACAAACGTTGTAATGAAACATATCCAAGTTTTGCCTCGATTTACTATTACAAATTACTTTAGTAGAACTACATAACTTTATACATAATTCATAATTGTACGATTTAAAAATTGTTGCTCACTCTGATGGGTAGGAATAGACATATAAGAACATAATAACCTATTTAGTACCTATATAATATAATATAATATACAGGGCCATGTTACATAATAATACGAATTTAACCATAAAAAATTTTCGTTTTTTGGCCCCTTATTTACATATTTATACAAAAATACCTACTGAGTGTAAAAGTTATTTTTACACTTTGTAGAAGTATAACATAAAAACCTGTAGCAATAAATTTGTCTATTAATGACCAAAGTTCTCCTAAAGTACCATTATAATATTATAAAACTGTACAACATCGATTTAATGACGTGATCGTGTACTATAAAATTCTTAGGCGATGTTTGAGGGTAATAGTAGAAATAGGTTTTTAAAAAGTTTTAACTCGAAATAACTTTTTATAAATTGATTGAAACAATGCACAAAAAAAAAAAATTACAGTTCAAACTTTTTAGAAGCACAACAAAAATTATTTACTGTAGCTTTTAATAATAATTAATGTTCACTTACATAATTAGTATATAAATAAATGTAGATAAATGTAAAAAAGACATTGTGTAAGCACCTATGGCTGTTATAAATTGTAAATAAAATTACTGCAAATGGCATAACAAAAAAAATTATATCTATAGTTGCTTCGAAATTTTATTTTTAAATGTATGGTAAAAATTCAAAGAAGTAGCTAAAAATGGTGCCTAGTAGAATCTATCTAAAGAAGACTGCATTCTTCTGTATATTTTCAGTGGAGGAGTCAAGTGTGTTTTGGAATTTATCCAAATTATTCATGGATTCAGGTTCTTATTAGCTATTTTCGGATAAGTTCTAAAACCAATTTTGCAAGCTTGGATTATCAAATATCCATTGAATATCCGATTTCCTCAAACAATATCTATTGTAGATATGTGATTGTGTAGATTGTAGGTATTATATATTCTTACTGTTTTGTAAATTCTTCCAATACTAACTTTCACCATTTTTAGTCCTAGGTTTATACTAATTAAATGTAACAAGGGCAAACACACAAAAAAAAATGTAAAAAGCTGCTAGTTTCTTGTAAATACCCTTGCATGTTTTATTGTTTTATAGGTTTATATTCGTTGAAAATGTTAAAAGCTGTATTAGAAGAAATTATTCCCTAAAAAAAATATAGACGTCCCCAT